AACACCCCAAAAACGACCAGAAACACCCCAAAAACACCCCTAAAAAAACACCCCAAAAACACCCAAAATACCCCAAAAATACCCAAAATCACCCAAAAAACACCCAAAAACACCCAAAACACCCAAAAATACCCAAAAACACCCAAAACACCCCAAAAACACCGCAAAACATCCCAAAAATACCCCGAAACACCAAAAAAACACTCAAAACACCCCAAAAACACCCAAAACACCCAAAAACACCCCAAAAACAACCAGAAACACCCCAAAAACACCCCTAAAAAAACACCCCAAAAACACCCAAAATACCCCAAAAACACCCCTAAAAAAACAACCCAAAAACACCCCAAAAACAACCAGAAACACCCCAAAAACGCCCCAAAATACCCCAAAAACAGCCCAAAAATTACCAGAAACAACCCAAAAATCACTCCAAAAATTCCTGAAATGATCCAAAAACACCTGAAACAACCCCAAAACACCCGAAAACCACAGAAAAACACCCCAAAAACACCCAAAAAACATCCAAAAACACCCAAAACACCCCAAAAATGCCCAAAAACACCCAAAAAACACCAAAAAAAACACCCAAAAACACAAAAAAACACCCAAACACCCCAAAACCACCCAAAGTCACCCGAAACACCCCAAGGAATTCCTGAAATGCCCCAAAATATCCCAAAATCGCCCAAAACTTCCCCAAATTCCGCCTGAAATTCCCCAAACCGCCCCGAATTCCCAAATTTCTCCCCAAAAATCCCCAATTTTCCTCAGAATTTTCCCAGAAATTTCCGGGAATTTCTTCGGATTTTCCCGGAACTTTCCCGGAATTTTCCGGAATTTCCCCGGAATTTTCCCGGATTTTTTCCTGGATCTTTCCAGGATTTTTCTGGAATTTTCCCGGAGTGTTCCGGAATTTTCCTGGATTTTTGCCGGAACTTTCCGGAATTTTCCCGGAATTTTCCCAGATTTTTCCCGGAATTTCCCCAGAATTTTCCTGGATTTTTTCCTGGATCTTTCCAGGATTTTTCCAGAATTTTCCTGGAATTTTCCCAGATTTTTTCTGGATTTTTCCCGGATTTTTCCCAGATTTTTTCGCAGAATTTTCCGGGGATTTTTCCAGAATTTTCCTGGAATTTTTCCTGGAATTTTCCCGGATTTTTCCCAGATTTTCCCGGAATTTTCTGGGGATTTTTCCGGAATTTTCCGGGGATTTTTTCCCGGAATTTTCCCGGAAGTTTCCGGGGATTTTCCCAGAATTTTCCCGGAATTTTCCCGTAATTTTCCCCGATTTTTTCCGGAATTTTCCCAGATTTTCCCGGAATTTTCCCCGATTTTTTCCCGGAATTTTCCGGGGATTTTTCTGGAATTTTCCAGGAATTTTCTGGAATTTTCTCGGATTTTTTCCTGGAATTTTCCTGGAATTTTCCCGGAATTTTCCGGGGATTTTCCTGGATTTTTTTCCGGAATTTTCCGGGGATTTTCCCGGATTTTTTCCCGTAATTTTTCCGGAATTTTCCTGGATTTTTTCCCGGATCTTTCCGGAACGTTCCGTGTTTTTCCCCAGCCTGCAGCTCCGGCTCTCTGGATCTCCCCTCCCCCGCCCTGGGAGCCGTCACCGCCCTGGCCCGGGGGGGACCCCACCAGTTACAGGCACTGGGTTTGTACTGGTTTATACTGGTTTGGACTGGGAGGGGGAGAAATGGGGGAAAAACGGGAAAATTTGGGAAACATATGGAAAAAAAACGGGGAAAAAAGGGTTAAAAATGGCAAAGAAAGGGTTAAAAACGGGGAAGAAAGGGTTAAAAATGGCGGGAAATGGGGGTTG